TGCTCCGAGTTAATGAACAGGCCCTCTCTGATCAGACCTGCCAGCTGATCTCTGCCATGCAGACAAGATGTCAAGCACCAAGCAGCCTAGGGGACAAGTCCTTGCTCTGGAAAAGGTAGAGCCGATTCTGCTCCGTTCTGGCATGCTCATGGCACAAATCTACAGCTTGCAAAACTTAGATGTCACTATGGCAAGTCCTTGAACTTTGCACCACTGGCTGGATGACTACCTGGGCAGCCAGGGGAACGCCCAGGGACATTCTGGCAAAGCAGCGCAGTGCTTTCTTCAGGTAAAAAATATTTTTTGGCTATATTGAGGTAACAAAACAGAGAGGTTGTGATTTGCAGAAAATTAGCTTTCAGCAAGGCAGATGGCAAATTTCTGTGGTCATCACTTGAAGCAGAAACCTTATGAAAGGTATCTCTCACCTGTCTGAGGTCATTTCATTAAGGGCTAGATATATGTCCAGTGTCTGAGAAGCAGAGAAACACTCTGGATATTGAAATGGCAATTCAAAACCTGCTGGTTGTCTCTATAATATCACTGCAATGTCAGAAGACAGAGAGGTCAGATTAGTTTGTTCACATTTGTGGCAGTGGAACACCAAAATTATGCACAGAATCATTAAGTATTAAAAAAACCCCTAGAACGTGCTGTCATAACCTACCTCCCACACTTTGAACACAACACAAAACCAGGAGAAGTGGCTGACAGACCAGAAGACTGTGATGCCATCCAGCGGTATCTCAACAGGCTGGAGAATTAGGCAAACAGGGACTTACTTAAAATCATACAATATCAGGTTGGAAGGGACCTCAAGGACCATCTGATCCAACTTCTGGCAAAAATGTGATTTAATGAAGTTCAGCAAAGGGAAAATGCCAAGTCTTGTCCCCAGCTAAGAACAACCTCATGTACCAGTAAGGGCTGGGGACCACCTGGGTGGAAGGAGGCTTGGCAGACCTGGGACCTTGTTGGATACCATGCAGAAATAAGCCAGAAATGTTCCTTTGCACTCAACAGCACCGTGAGCTGCTTTAGGAAGGGCATTGCCAGAAGTCAAGGGAGGTGATCCTCTGCCACTACCCAGTGCTGGAGAGAACCATCTGGAGTATTGGCTCCAGTTCTAGGTTCCCCAGTGCAACAGAGACATGGACAGGCTGGAGTGAGCCCAATGAAATGCCAAGAAGTGCATAAGGGGAATGGAGCATCTGTCATTTGAGGAGTGGCTGGGAGAGAGCTGGGACAGTTCAGTCCAGAGAAGAGAAGACCAAGGGGATCTTAACAGTGTGTATGGTCACCTGAAGGCAGGGTGCAAAGAGGGTGGAGTCACTCTTTACAGTGAAAGGGCAAGAGGCAGTGGGCATAAACAAGCCCAGAACATTCCATCTAAAATTTTGGGGCTTTTTTATTGTGATGGTGGTCAGGCCCTGGAACAGATTGTCTAGAAGGGCTGGGGAGTCCTGGGAGACATTCAAAACCCAGCTGGACACAGTCATGAAAGCTTGCTCAAGACAATCCTGCTTTGAGGAGGGTGGTGGACTAGCCAGATTCCAGGCCCCTTTCAGCCTCAACTGTTTGACTGTTTTGTTTGATTTCGTGTGTGTGTGTGTGTGTGTGTGTGTGTGTGTGTGTGTTATTTAGTCTTTTCCTCTGGCTCTTTGCCCAAATATTTTATTCTTCTCAGTCCCAGGACCTGATCCTCAGGCCCAGACTCCTTGCTTGAACAAGCCCTGCTCAGCCTTTCTAGCTCTTCTTCTGTGTTCCACAGACAAGCATCCAGAGGTACATCACATCCAACACTTCTCCCTTGACTCAAATACCATCTTCACACATGCATTTCCTATTTAAGCCATCTCAGTCTTTCTGTCTCTTCCCCCCAGACTGTTTCCTCATGTCCTTCCTCACAAACCCTACACAGTTCTGTCCCATTCTCTTCATGTGTGTGCCTCCAGATCTCATCAGAATAGAACAATTTTGGTGTCTGAGTAAGAGGTAGAGCTGGTCTGTGCTTGCACTTGTCCTCATGTATATGTTTATGAAATTTATATTTCAATACTTACCATCCCAGTAATTATTGAAATAGCTACTCACCAGTTTTAAGTATTTTGCTGGGCGAAGGATATAGATCATGGCTACAGTATGTTGTAACACTATAATATGAGAATACAGTCATGTGTGTGATCATTGTATGGTGCACAATCATGTATGGACATAATTATTCTATTAAAAGGGCTTCATACAAACACAGTTTAATTCCCTCCCTGTGCAGGAATAGGTGCACAAGCAGTAACCTTTGTACCTGTGCAGACAGACAGTACAGTAAAAGTAGCACAGCAGAAATACACTCAAGAGTAGGAGGTTAAGAGCTGTGTAAACCAGAGCTATGTCCTTCATTAAACAGTCATGCTGAAATACCTTGGGATGTTACCTCTTGGTCATAGGTGCAGAAGAACAAACTCAAATAGATCAACTGTGACAAGTAGGATGTTGATCTCCATTTTGCAAACCATCTGGAACTAACACATAAATCACTGTTAATTGTGATATTACTACACTTCTGTGTTTAGATATCACAGCTCCCTGTATGTTTATTTCCTGGTTTTATTTATCTGTTAAAGTCTTTCTTCTCCTACAAAGGGGTAAAGCACTAAGAGAGCTGAAGGGTTTGTAATACTGGAGTATATATTCATTATGCACACAACCTAATAGTGAGTTTAAAGTGATCTGTGTACACACGAAAGATAAGCCCTCAACACTCTTTGATGACATTACTTAAAGGCTTGTGTTTGTTTGGGCCTTTTTTGTTTGTTTGCTTTTGTTTAGCTTCTGCTCTTGGGGTGCTATTCAGTGAAGGACATAAGATGCAACTGCAAGGCACTGCTGTGAAGATAGAACCAGCATGATGCTGCAAGTCACAAACTTTCCTCAGACTAAATCCTGCTCCTGGGCAGGTAATAATTAATGGTCTTTCCAAGTAGACTTACACAGTCACCACCTGTGACCTGGGCAGTCTGGCTGCCTTTCTCCAGCAGCACACAGTCCTCTGAGTCAGTGCTGCTGTGTTTCCATCCCATCTGAAGTCCAAGCTCCCCCACTGTATATGTAGCCTTTGATCAAACTGGTTTTGGACAGAAACAAAAAAATGCTGTGTCACTGAAAAATAAAATAAATTAATAGGAAGGGTCCTCTGCTGGTGCTGTCTCCATCAGGATTTGGGGAGATATAAACTCCAGCTGTTTGATGTACCTCCATGAGCACTGGTCCTTCTCTGCTCCACACATCACAGAGCTGTCCATGCATGAGTCCTCTAGTCAGGCTCATTTAAAAGATCCTGTGGGAAGAGAAAATTCTTCTTCACTGCCATCCCCAGATCCGTGCAGTTTTAAAAAGAACCTGTTTCCTCAGAATAAAAATGACCACAGAGAGCTTCCCTTTACATAGTATGCTGCAGTTCTGTGGGGTTTATTTTAAGGAGGGATCTAGTTGTTGTTTTCCACTCCCTGAAGCATAGAGAAAACAGAATATGACTGTACCCAAAGGTACACATCTAAGGGATGACTGCAAAATTCCCTTCCTGGAACATTTTCTGGTGACCAAACAAGACCTTGGACAGCCTGATGCTACTCTGGAACTCCCTCTGCCCTGAGCAGAGTACTGTGGGATGACTGTGGGTGTCCTACAGAAGTTCTCTCCAACCTACATTATGAATCAATCATATACAGACTGATATACAGTGCCACAAGACAGCCCAAGCCCAGAGAATGGCTACAGAGGGAGGCACAAAGTGGCACAGCAGATTGCATGAGCTGTCTCAAAAAAGGCTCTGAACCCCTTGTACCTTCTGTGCAGCCAGGCATGTTTGTATTAAATTGAAATATGCCTTCTTCCCATTTTTAACCAGGGTTTTGTCAGTAGTTTGTTTTATCACTGCACAAATTCTAATGAAGTTTAACCCAAAGAAGGATCCAATTTAATAGCAATTACTGGTGAGCGACAAAAAAAAAATCATCTGATTCAGATTAATATTTCACTTGCAATGCTTCCTTCATTTGTCTGAATCATTGTGACTGGGACCACAAACTACTCAGAAAGGGGTATGGAGGTATGGAGAGGTATTCTGGGATAGGTTTCTGTGACCTAAAAATCCTCAAATCCTCAGCACAAGAATTACTGACTAATGGCTAATGATTGACTTAGGGATTCAGCTTAGCCTTAATGATAAATGAAAAGCTTCTCTTCAACAGTGCATACTTTACCTTTTTTTTTCACGATGAGAACCTAAATATGTCTACATTAATTTAAGAGAAATTAGGACTGGCACACAATTAACAGGGCTTCAGCACTCAACCAGGAAAAGCTTTAAACTTTTCACTTACAGGGCTCTGGGCAATGATCAGCTTCTGTCTTCCTAGGTTTGCATGCCCCTTGCTCAAACTGCACAGCTCTGTGCCTAATCCACAGGATACGGAGACTGCTGCAAGCACTCCAGCTCGGCACGCAGCTGTTGCTAATGCAGCTCTTGTTAAACCAGATCTGGATCAATTCATCCCTCCCGGATGTCTGTGCAGGTGTTTGTCACAGGAACACAGTCTGGGGATCCCGAGGCACTGCTGTCAACGACAGCACCCCGTAAAAAAACCAGATCCCAGATGTGTGTTAATAATGGTGAGATCTTCTTAGTGATTACTTTTTTTTAATGTAGGTAATGGACAAAATTGTGTGTGTGACTGTACCTGCACTGCTGGTTTCCTGGCACAGGGCAGCACTGGTGGCAGACTACCTGTTGAGCAGGAGTCTCTTGTGTCACTGCAGAAGGACCTTGCAGCTCCGCAGGAGCTACCGGGCTGCTGCAGTTCCTGGTGCTGGCACTGGAGAAGCATGACCTTCAAGAACTTGTTTCCTAAACAACCTAGAACAGAGATGCACTAGACTCTGCTCTTGCTTCAGACAGACCCTGGCAGGGTGGCTGTTTAGCCTCGGTTCATGTGAGATGCTAGATGTCACCTGCAGAAGAAAAGAGCTTACCTCTTCCTTTTTTGAGCCAGCAAATTCGCTCTGTCAGCCTGCGCAGCAGCTGTGGCAGAACTAGGTACAACTCACCGTGGTTTTCCGAGAGGGAAGGGGGTCAAAATTTACTTACGGGGGGGAGGAGGGAACGTCAGTCCCCAGGTGCCTCATTCCTCAGTGTTCCTATCCAGAAAATCTGTTCGTTCCACTCTTCTCATTGCGACTTTTCTGTAATTTAAGCCTCTCAAGTATTTTATACCACCTGATTGTGGCTGAAGGGAGGGTTTATCAGGATAGAATCTTTGCCTCGGAGACCAAAGGGCTGCAGTCATTAACACAGAGCAGTCATGGCTAATTTAAGCTTTGTATTTACTGGGTTTCTGGAAGAAGACTGAAGAGGCAGGGAGATCTGTTGCCTAAGTTACTAGCAAGGGGCTGATTTATTCTGGAATTTACTTTTCCTCATTAATGCAGATTAATCAAAAACTGAATCTTACATTTCTGGTTACAGTGGTGTCTGTGAAAATGTACTTGGTAAACTCCTTTGCTGAACTGTGGGGTAGAAGCACACTGGTATCTATGTAGCACTGCTTTGTGATCAGTTAGTTTATTTGGAACATTTCTCAGCACGTTCTATGTGATTTCTACAAGCTCTTACAGGCGAATCTGTTACGTTGTCCTAATGATTTGTAACTTCTCAATCTCTACTAATCTTTAAACACAAAGACCAAACTTAATGCACAATTACACTGTAAAGCTGCTGAGGATTTGAGCAGTGACTGCATTCCCCTGGCACTTCCAACGGCTGCTCTGAAAGGACCCTGTAGCATGATGTGCCACAGAGGTGTCCAAACAAAGACAGCCCCTGTTCCACAGCACTCACCACCTGAGACAACTGGGAAGGTCCATCACCTGCTAAGGCACTCTTGGCCTGGAACTGATATTAGAGGCAGCAAGTATGTGCCCATACTGTTTCAGGTGCAGGCTTGGAAAGCTGAGATTGAGTTCGGCCTCCTTTCCTGGCCACCAGATATTTGGTGACACACATAAGAGGTTAAACATATGTGCTGGTTTCAGCTGGGATGGGTAAACCACAACAACATGATTTTAGTGTCTGATCAGCACAGTGTTCCAGGGTGGTTTGTAGAATAGAGTCCCAGCTGCTTGTGTGTCTGCATTACAATGGTCACTGTGGGGTTGTTCCTGACCACAGCCTGTGCTCCTACTATGCTAGGCAGAACTGGGGAGGCCACATGATCAAGAAGAGATTTGACTGATCTTTCTTCAGGAGGAGTAACCAGAACAGAATTTATGACCCAGTTTCTCTTGGAGAGTACACATATGCGTAAGATCTGTAAAAGAATATAAGGGAGAAAGACTTGGCGTTTGACAGGAATGTATTTTGGTTATTCATGCCCAGGGTCACTTTTAACAGATCTGGATGTGAATCTCCTCTTCTCCATGAATCTCCTGCATCCCATTGGGTATGGTCCCTGCAGCCTGTTGGTGCCTGCACAGTCCCCTTGGCCACCTGGCATAGGGGATAGTGGTGCTGATGCTACCAGTGTGGTAACCAATGTATGTCTCCCTGCAGCCACACTCATATTCACACATGTTCCTTACTCTCTCCCTCTTCAGTGACATTTCCCCTGGATCTCACTAAAACTCGACTGCAGGTCCAAGGTGAAGCTGCTGTCCGTGGCAATGGAGCTGTGTCCAGCCAGGCCGTCCCATACCGCGGCATGCTGCACACGGCAGCTGGCATTGTGCAAGAGGAGGGATTAGGGAAGCTCTGGCAAGGAGCCACACCAGCCATCTACCGCCACATAGGTGATTACTTGCTCATGATGGGACAAGTTTGAGTCCTATCTCCTGTGACCAACAGCCTTTTGGAGTCAATTTGTTATATCTTCTTGTACTTTAGATATATCTATGAAGACTTGTTCAGTCTAGCCTGCAATCCCACTTCAAAATATGGGATTGTCTCTTTTTTCTCTTGCTCAGTCCTTCATGCCCTTATTCTGACTTCTGAGAAAACAAATTATAATTTCCCTGTCATCTTTGCAGGCAAGTCTAGTTCAGGAAGCACAAATTGGCATTCAGAGTTCTCAGAACAATAAATATCTCATATTTGAAGGAAGTGGGGATGGACTGGGAAAAACAGATATGTTTGCAAGCACTAAGGAAGGATACAGTGCTAGTAGAAGTGCATTAGTGGTTTGGCCACAGGTAGTCTTTCTGTGTTTACTTTGAAATATGGCAACAACAACAAACCTCAAAAGCACTTGTGGGAGGTTTTGTGCTTGACATCAACTGAGGGAAGCACTGCTGTCACATCTCCTTAGAATGTGGGCAAAGCCATACTGCCTCCGGGCAGGTCTATGTCTCAGCCAGAGAGATTTTTCAGATGCTAAAACATTCTAGCTCTAGCACTGATACCAGGCAATCCCGTTGCTTTCCCCATTCCGATCATGAATGTGAGAGCAGTGACCAGCTCACTCAGGTGAACTCAGAACCAATCTCTAGATGTCTCTCTCACAGCATGACCTCCAGGAATAGCAAACCCAACTGTCTCCTGCTCTTGTTTTTCACAGTATACTCTGGAGTTCGTATGGTTGCTTATGAACACCTGCGTGACTCCGTACTTGGCAGGGCTGAGGATGAAAGCTTTCCTTTCTGGTAATGCTGCATATTTATGCATTTTTATTGCTTGTCTGGGGATTGTCCTTACTGTAGGAGTCCTGCAGCCAAATCTTAGGTCCAAAATGTATCTGGTTTTAGGATGGGTTTTATAAAATCTAGTGCAAAATAGTTGTCATGTCTGGTGCTATGGGGAGGGGGAACTGTGAATAATACTTATATTTCTGGGTTTACTAAAAAAAGAACTAGAAAATCAATGCAATTTATCTAGAAGCAGTAGGAGATAAAGAAAAGTTTTATATAGCAGCAAGCAGTTTAGAATCTCAGATTGGTATTCAGTTATTATAATATATGGAACAGCATCCCTTATTTGGGCACCATGCCATCCTGCCTTTATACCTAAAGTGAGGGGCATAATGGAACCTGGAGAGAAAGCAGAGCACCTTGGTGACATATAATACCTTGGGGGGTTTTTCAGCAGGTAAGTTTTAACCCTTTCTTAAAACTGAGAAAAGTATTACTGACTACTTTACCTACCTTCAGCCACCACAATAATTACCTCACTTTGGCTGTTAGTATTTGGAATAACTGTTTACACTTGTTTCCACTGGTTTGTGCTGCTGAACTCTTCAGCTCAAGCACTATCATTTGTGAAGATTTTCAGTGTGTTCTGGAGCACAGTTTTCCCCCTGTTTTGCAGGAAAGCAGTAGTTGGAGGCATGTCTGCTGGTGCCATTGGACAGTTTTTTGCCAGCCCAACTGATCTGGTGAAGGTGCAGATGCAGATGGAGGGAAAAAGGAAGTTGGAAGGAAAGCCATTACGGTTGGTTCCTCTCAGACCTGGTGTTTTTTTCCTGCTGCTGTTCATTCTTTAGCCGAGTGTATTTCTCTGTGTTTTCTGCCACCTCTTGTAGGCAACTGCTCTGTGCCCTCCTGGGAGGCACAGGATGGCTCTGGGAAGTGAGGAGGGCAGGAGATTCAAGACTTCCTCCTTATTCCATTTATACTTGCCTTCTTTACTCTGATGTTTTCATCCTAAAGACCACAAACTCTTCCCATCCTCTCTGTGCAGCATGTCCATGCCAGTGCTCTTCTGTGGAGAAGGAAGGATGCTTTGTGAAAATGGGAAGCTGGAAGAAATATGGCTTGTGCAGGATGCACAGCACAAGGAAAGCTGGGTTGCCTGCAGACAGCAGGACCCAAGAGCCTCCTGTAGATACCAGGACATGCTGCTCTTTGCATCCCAAACTGCTGCCATCATTTGGTGTCTCATACATTTAGTACTGCAATCCAGCTGCGGTATCAAAGAGTTGTCTGTTAGTGACAAGATCACTGCTTAGCAAGACAACCAGTATGTTTGGTAAAATATCACAGCATGAAAGGCAAAGATGAATCCAAAAACATGGATCAAAAAATGGATCTGGAGGGACAGATCTTGCAGGTATAAATTGCCCGTCCTATGTGAGGACCCTGTGCAGCAAAGTGTGGCAATGTGCAAAGATTTCTCCATATCTGGGCTGTCCACCTACTAGTTACATATCTATTTCAGGTTTCGAGGAGTGCACCATGCATTTCTGAAGATCCTGTCTGAAGGAGGAATACGTGGGCTTTGGGCTGGATGGGTGCCTAATGTCCAGAGAGCTGCTCTGGTAAACATGGGAGGTAAATGGAATAATTTGGTCTGCAGCACATAAGGCCACACCTAAAGTTTAAGAAAGAAGCATTCAGCTGCTCCCCTGGTCTTAGTGTCTTGACTGGGGACCTGTTCAGAGTGTGCTGCAGGTGACTCCTGCCTTGTGCACCTGTGTCTCACTCTTGTGAAAATCAAGTGGCTTAAAAATTTGGGGTTTTATCAATCCTGTGGAATTCAAGTTGCTTAAAAATAGCAGTTTGTGCCTGAGCCTGAGGAAAGGTAAGATGGGAGCTGAGGGGATCCCACAACCAGCAAAGCAGGGATCTCACCAGCTGCATCCCAGTGCCACGCAGGTGCCCTAATAAGGCAAGCAGGGCAGAGCCAATGGAGGGCAGTCAAGTTCCACCAAGATCCAGATCCTCAGGAAAGTGTGTGGTGATGAGGCAGGTCTGAGGGCAAGCCAGGAAGCTGAGCCAGCAGCAGGTCTGGTGAGGGTCATCAGTGTCAGATACAGCTGGGTAAATCAGAGAAGAGGATAGTACAAAGGAGAACGTACTCACATGACTAAAGACAGGACTAAGGTGTGACAGCTGTCATCAGAAACTGGGGGCAGAGTGACAGCTATGGTGGTGGGAGGAGCTGCACTGGAAATTTAGGGCTTGCCAAGCCTCCACCCTATGTCAGGAACAGCGTAGACACCATTTACTTCTCATAGTATTGTTTTTTCTCATTATCCTCTTTACAGATCTGACCACTTACGACTCAGTGAAACACTTTCTGATTCTGAACACACCACTTGTGGATAACAGTGTGACTCACAGTGTGGCCAGGTGCTGTATTCCCCGATTATCCCTTTCCCATTGTGGAGCATTTCCAGCCTTGCTGTCTTGCTCTGCCTCTCTGTGCCAGCAGAAGACCCTATTCATTGATTTTGATACTGCTGATGAAATGCAGCTTTAGAATTCTCTTTTTTTCTGAGAGAACATCACTTTATAAAACACACAAGAGAAAGGATGCAACCATTGCTACAAAACTTCCTTCACTAGAAGTGCATAGCTGGTGTATTTAAACACACACCTTTGCTCTCATCTGTAAGTGATAGAACCCCTGCAGAACAACCTCTTTTAATTCCTTAAATTATGAAGAAATCTTCTTTGTACAAACAATGTGACAAATTGCCTATTGTGGTTCCTTTAACCCTGCCTCAGAACTGCACACAGAGGTGAGGGCAGCCAGCACTGGGAGGACATCTGAGCAAGAGCTGTACCAGAAAGCATTCTTCCAAATCAAGTTTACATTATGAGTTATTAATCATGATTTTTATGGTAACTTTTAATATATATTTATTGTTAGAACTTGGATCATTATGCTAAAATTGTTGTGATAAATCTTAGTTTCTTCTTTAATGAACTGTTGCTGTTGGCAGTGTCTGTTCTGGCTTGGTAGCAGCTGTTCTGGGAACTCCTGCTGATGTGGTCAAAACACGGATAATGAACCAGCCAAGAGATAAGCAGGGAAGGTATGGACACTTTGGAGACTGATTTCCCAGTAGAAAATTGAAACCCTGAATCTCACTGATTTCACAGGGAGCAAAGTGCTAAGTTTCCAATTTGCTCTTCATCTTTCTGATGAAGATTTTACTGATTTAGTGAATCTCTGCAGGTGTTGTTGTGGCAGTCACCTGAACACAACTAGTTATTCCAGTGGCTTTCAGTTCTGCTTAGACCCCAGTGAGCTTACAAAAGTGCTCTTTGTTTTAAAAAATGATCAGATATGAATAATTTTTCATGGGGATGGGATTTGTATTAATTGCATATTGGTAATCCCAACACTGTCTGTTCTTCCACATTGCTAGAGGTCTGCTGTATAAGTCTTCCATTGACTGTCTGATTCAAACTGTCCAGGGTGAAGGGTTTATGTCTCTATACAAAGGCTTTATACCAACCTGGATGCGAATGGTAAGTGCCTCTGAACTCTTTTTACAAGAGCAACTAGCATTAAAAAGGAAGGTTCTTTCTGCACCAACACTTTTTTCAACACTATTTGGGTCTCTTAATTTCTTTAATTACAGTTAGCATAGCTGAATGTAGTGCATGACACAACTGCATGTAGGGTCACTTTTCCCATGCTGCCTCTTGCACCTCTTGAATTTGGAAAACATTGTCCTTCTTAATTGCAAGTAATTTTCCTTGCTTTTTTTTTAGAATGTTAGGCTCTCTCCTTTCTCCCTTCCCCAGAATGCTCCCTTCTTACTCCCAGCCTTGGACTCCCTTTGCATCCCTCATACCTTTTTTTCTTTTTCTCTCCTGGTCCTAGAATTACTTTCTCTTCCATCCTGGGTCTCACTTTCACCCCTCTAATATTCAGGCTGGCAGCTTTCTCCTGCATGCTACTGTGCTGTTAAGGCTCCAATTAAGACAATTATTATTGTCTTAAGGCTACAATTAAGACAAACAGCAGTAACTGAAGTCTGGACACTTGAACTCCTCTGTTAGTTTGAGCAAGGGGCAATTCCCAATAGCAAATTTACATGTGACTACCTGTTTTTTGAAGGCCATAAGAATTAAGAAAAAAAAACCCCAGCATCACAACTATATGGGTACAGAGTATAAATTTTATGCAAGGAGATCTGCATTTTCTGATTAAGGTTTTAGAAAAAGTAAACTCTTAAAAAAATTTTAAAAGCATTCAGCCTGAAGTAGTTTCCAAGTTTTAAAGATTTCACATCAAACATTTATGGGTCGGCAAGCTGAAAAAATATAAAGAGGTTTAGGTGACTTGTGAAGGACTGGGTAGCCTTAACCATGTATTGATACTCTGATGTTTGTATGAAAGTTTCTGATTAAGGTTTTAGAAAAAGTAAACTCTTAAAAAAATTTTAAAAGCATTCAGCCTGAAGTAGTTTCCAAGTTTTAAAGATTTCACATCAAACATTTATGGGTCGGCAAGCTGAAAAAATATAAAGAGGTTTAGGTGACTTGTGAAGGACTGGGTAGCCTTAACCATGTATTGATACTCTGATGTTTGTATGAAAGACATAATCATAGAATCATAGAATGGTTTGGAAGGCACGAAAGATCATCTAGTTTTAAACCCCCCTGCCATGGGCAGGGACACCCTCCACTAGACTAGGTTGCTCAGGGTCCCATGCAACCTGACCTTGAACACTTCCAAGGATGGGGAGTTCATAGCCTCTCTGGATAAGCAGAGGATGAGAGCCATATGAGATTGATTTTAAGAATATAATTTTTAAAGGGAGACAGTCTAATCTAATGGAGTTACTTATTGTGTAACTTCTGTTTTAAGCCTCTGAATTCTGTGTTTGCTTTCACAGGCTCCTTGGTCACTTGTATTCTGGCTTACGTATGAACAAATCAGAAGGATCTGTGGAGTTCGTTCTTTTTAAAATCTTCAATATTCACAAAAAAAAGAAGAATCAGTAATCTGAATTCTCGTTCCACAAGGCATCCCGACCCCACTGGGAACTAATTCATTTAGTAGATTGTCAGTAGGACCAGATGTATAAGTTGCTGCTCCAAATCCAGTCCTTATTGGTTAGGAGCAGCCATGACTTAAGGATACTATTCGTTTGTCCAACTATCATAAGAAATTTAACTTAGCCTCAGTATGAGATTGTCACAATAATACTTCAACTGACAGCTAGCATCAACTTTCTGAAACAGTAAATGGGGATTAAAAAAAGTCTGCTAAGCAAATAGTATATAGTACTGCCTGCTTGTTTGATAATAGAGATTGGAACAAGATAATAGAGTTCAGGACAAGAAGAAGTTGATCATCACAGCACTGAACATCTTCTGTGTCTATCTGCAAAATTTTTTGTGAATTTTTGTTGTCATTGCATTTGTACACATATAAAGAACTACCTCTCTTTAGTTTGATGCCTCAGCAAACCAAGGCTGTAGTGCTAGGTATTGAAAAAGATAAAAACAGTTTACCTGATTCCAAATTTACTTTGCACAGGAGGTGGAAGGGTTTGTGTTCCTCTTAATTCCCAGGGACCACCTGACCTCATCACTCAGCTATTTGAGTAAGATCCATGAGTGAAATACAGTCCTGTTCCCATGAAATCAAAAACCTACTTAGCTCTGCCCCTCATGAAGGACTTAGGATACACACACTGTCCATAGGACCACATTAAACTATTTCTCCTGTGAGAGTCACAGTGCTGATGTGGCAGACTGGGTCATTAAGGTACCACTTTTCACTGGAAATATGCACTCTGCCCATTTAAAATATCTGTGGAAATATAATACTGTCTTGGAAAACAAAATAGTTGAATAGCAGTGATTCATTTCTTTTTAAACCTGAAGCCTTCCAGTTTTCATAGGGAAGAGGACTACTGCTGTTTGTCACTAGACTCATGCTTGGCAATCAGGAGGCAAAAATGCAGTATTAAAAGCAATCCCAAGTAGATAGAACAACGCTGCCTTTGACTTAGCAATATCTAGTAATGGAATGACTGTACAATACTTGGGTCCCTGAGTACATACTCAGTATTTCTTCTATTAGTCTTTGCAACTCGTATCTTCAATGCGCCAATTTCTCCTTAAATACAGTTTAGACATCTTCTTGGCTTACACTTGTACTTTTTGATTGCATTGTAGCTCTGTCATGGTTGTATTTGAGGGTGTGATTACAGCTTGGAAAAAAATCATCTCACCATTATTAGGAACTCAGAAGGTTTTGTTCAGAAATACCGTTATTTTTCAGTTGTGAGCCTGAGAAATTAATCTGAGTTCTTTCTGCCTTGCACACCATCACCAGCAATTAGAAACCAGCAAAACTGTTGCTTCAGTTACAACCAAAGAGGTCCTGCCTCCCATTTCATTCTCTGATAAACTTGGTGATGGCTATGCAGATTTACCTATCTATTGAGTTAGAATAACTGCTGTCATGTGAATTTACAGAGAAAGCTGACTACAAATGGGAAATCATTCCCAGTGACCATCAAGGTATAATAACAGTGGATTTAGCTGATGAAGATCTTGTAAGTACAGAAAGATCTTGTTCAACAGAAATATTTGATAAAAGAGAGAACAGTGACATGATAACTGTGTGTGAGCCTTTGCCTCCTCAGGCACAAAATGAAATTTCCTGTGTAAGTGATTGTAAATCATTTATCTGGAAATTTCCAGAGGCAGGTCAGACTAAAAATTTATATCACAGTGGTAAATGGTCCAGAATGCTTCTGGTGTCACAATGTTGATACAAAAGAGCTACATCAAGAAAAAAAATAGAGGAAGCTGAAAACAGATTAAGCTCTTTAAATAAGGGCTAATCTTGCATTAAAAGTGGTGACACTTGTCTAGCAAAATACAGTCAAGATGGAAGGTTCTACAGAGCTCACATCAGCAGTGTAAAAGATGACAATGTGGTTGTTAGACATGTGGATTACAGAAGCTATGAAGCTGTTAGCATGGACATGGTCCATCAGATTCCATGTAAATTGCTTAGAGTACCTAGTCAAGTATTTGCTTACTGTCTTCTGGGTCCCTTAGAGGGGCTCATGGCATAGTGAAGCAAGTGAGAAGTTTCATGGTATGACTGAAGACCTCTTATTAGAATCTGAAGTAATAAAAACTCAGGAAGATAAAAATTCTAAAGTCCCTCTGTGTGTTGTGAAGCTGGAAGCTTCTGGCAATAGTATTAAGGAATAGATGAAGCCTTTTTGGAAGGCTAATAAAGGAACTTGGAGGAAAACAGGTGTTCAAACAGTGATATGGGTTCTTGTCTCAAAAGACAAACTACTGTTTGTAGATTAGCTCAGGATGAAAGGGAAAGTACTTTACTTTGTTCTGAAACTTTCCTGGGTGGTTTTCTGCGTGTTTAGATACTGTAGAAAAAGCTCAATGGGAGCTGCTAGTGCAAAGACTGGTGACAGATATGAAACAGTAGAACATCAGAACAGCTTTGATAAAGAGATACCTTTGTCTTAAGGCAAGAGTGGTAACAGTATGTTACTAAAACCAAGGAGAAGGTGAATTCCTCATATTTTGGGGAATGAAATAACAGCTTCAGAAGAATCGTCTGAAGTACTGTTTGGAGAGGATGTTGAGCTGCAAGCAAAACTGACAGGTGGTGCTTCAGCAGCCAGCCTTTTCCTAGGAAACAAACATAAAGAACTGAAAATATTGCCAGTGCTCCAGGCACAGCCCTCTTCAAGTGATGGAACAGGGACTTCAGTAGAACTGGATCCATTAGAAATGCGCTATTTGTATGATTATCTAAAAATGCTCCTCCTGGAGCTAAAGGCATTTCTGTGGAAGACCCCCTTTGGTGAAGAACCAAAGAAGCTGTGTAAACAGAGTCACTTGAAATCCAGACAGCATCAGGCAGTGAAGCAAGATAGAAAATGTTGAAACAGGAATTGCTTGAGCTGCCAGTTGTGAGTGAGAAGACAGGGGAGTAGACAGCTCTGAACTTTCTTGAAATGTTGCCATCACTTAATGAGAAAGAAAACATGCTGCTTTCAGTTAGTGATGGAGAGAATTCAGTGGAGCTGATTCAATCTGATCTTCAGCCTTCTTTGTGAGAGAGGCAAAGAAACTGGAAGTGAGTTTGTCTGGAATTCATAAAGCAGAAGCTATAGAAGATGCTGGGATGGAAGCAGACTCTCCGTCTCTAAGGCTGTCATCATCTGGTGGTAGACCTGAGAAAGAGCTGGACCTGAAGACCCATAACAAGTAGTCAATGGTAGGTGCCAAGTTTGAGCAGTTTCTGGAACTGGTGCTGCCTGATGTGCAGCCATCTCAGGAAGACAGGGAGGAGGACTTGTTAGGGCTGGAATATGCTGCACTGCAGAGTTCTGCAAAGAGTGGAAGTCAATTTTCATTTCTTACAAAAGACTCAACGAATCAGAGGCTTCTTTTCACTGTGAAGTCATATGACTGCCAAGGTGAGAAACATAAGGGGTGGCATAAGAAGAAAGATGACTGTGTCGAAGGATGGATGAACCAAGACTTGTCTGACTCATCTTAAAAATGTGGAAATACATGGGTGCAGTCTTCAATCTGTGAGCCTGGGGATGAAGAACAAGAAAAGCAAAATGAGAATTTAGCTGACTGCAGTGCAGGTAAAGGATCTCATTTTAAGGAGTTACATGATCAAAATGTGCACATTCAAGCATGCGAATAGCTTTCTGGTAGAAACCTAATTTTTATTCCCTAATAAGTTACTGTATTACTGTCAATGTCAGTATGCTTTGACGTGTTAAGGGCAGCAGACTAAGCATAGTATCTCAAGGATAATGTGACAGTCTAACAGCAATTAATCTTACTTGGGAAGGTTAATGATTGTGATTGAAAATCTATTTCTGAACATGAAATGCATTTGCAACACTGTTCAGGATGGCAAATTTTTACCTTTCAAATACCAAGTAAATAGTTTGGAGGGAGGCAGGGGAGCATGGAAGCAGGGCTGTGAGGCATTCAAGGTTTTTTAAGGTTGTGTTTTAGTGAGGTTTTACATATTGGGGTTGTTTTTCCTTCCTCGTCATTGACACATCATCATTTCTTGTAGCACACCATGAGTATTGTAATGTAAACGGCTTTGCTGTTGGCTCTAAATGCATGGTGTGCATCTCTCTCAAATGCTGTGAAGCTCAGATTTTGGAGATATCTGAAAAAGGTACTGGGGTAAGTATGGTTTGAATATTATTTCCGCAATCTTAAGATCTGGTTCTTCTTAAGTCTTCCTCTAAACTCTGAATACTTCAAAGAACTTTAAAGATATAGAATTTAGGTATTTCAAATGCTGATTCTGGACTTGCAGGCTACATAGAAACAGCACTGTCTCAAATCCAGTTGGATGTATATGTTAACATTTGATATTCCCTTCACACCTTATTCCCTTGTATTGACTGGGAATATTGAAGGATCTGGTGCCAGTTTGAGATGCACACTCATCTGTGTGGTTCTAACTGGCTTGCAAGTTACTGTTCTGCTATTCTACTATTCTGTTACCATTAAACGCTCATAAAACAGACCTTGGTCTATAAATCTAAACACATGATAATGCCATCTTAGTTGTTGTAAAGACAGTTTGTGAATAGTGCATGTACATCTTTATTGTTACTTAAGAGTTTTGAAGTGTTACTGGTGAAAACCTATTCAATGTACCAAAGACATAGTACAGATTCTTTCTGATTATATGTTATTTTTATAATCTATGCAATTGTAGAGCAGTTCTGGATGAAAGGGGCCTTTGGAGCTGCTGAAAGTAGAGTCAGTTAGATCAGGTTGCTAAGATCCTTACTTCCAGGTCTGGAATCTATCCAAGGATGGAGACTTCAAATCCTCTCTGGGCAATTTGTTTCTGTGGTTGCTTGATGGAAGTTGAACTGAGTTTAAGTAGAGGTAGCATTAGTGCTTTCAGGGGCTGAATTGG